CAGTGCCATGCAGGAATCTCCCCTTGCACTGAAACTCAACACCACAGCAGCTCTGCTCCACTCTGGGTCCGGGCCTCTATGGCACTGAGTCTGCAGGCTTGTTGGTCTTTTCCCCAACCCTGGATGTAACTTAAGATGAACAGGTCACTGTTTTCTTGTTTGAATGCTCTTTAAGAAGCTGCATAGCCAGTTTAATTGTTGTAGGTCAATACAGAGCATGTTATCTGTCAAAAATAGATTGGTTATGGTTTTAAATTTGTTTAAATACACACGTGATGATCTGAATTATGACATGTTCCCAGGCAACGTTCACGCATAGATGAACCAAAAAAAGTCCCTGTTGGCCCTGTTGCCTGGAAGTGAATAAACAACACTGACAAAGCCTGAGGCTGTCAACCACATATAAATAGCAATGATATGACACGATTTGCATTTAAAGACAGCAGCTAACCATCAGCAAGGTTTACAAATGAGCTACTGTGTGTGCTCACAAATATCTACAAACATAAATGTGTGTTTGCATATGTGTCCGTGCGCTTTCCAAAACTGTGGGTGTCAGCATTCCTGATGCAGGAAGCACAATGGAGCCAGAACAAAGAGACGAGAGCCACGGACTTAGTACACCAGATAGATCTGCAGCAGGGCTGAAAGCTTCTGCTGGCAGCAGAACTCACAAAGTAAAAGATGCAACTTTTAAAGTTTATTTTATTTGCTGCTCACTGTCAGACTGCTGGAAAGAAAATATTGAGTGAGCAGACAAAAGAGGTGTAGATTGTGGAGCCTGAATGTCAAAATCTGCACAACTACTGATCAGATCTGATCGGAAACACCCAAAATATACACATATAAAGTCATATTGAATCAACTTAACAGCACCTTTGCAGACACTGTCAGCAGGTTAGTGAAGACCTGACATGACCACGCCACAGAGAGCTTTAATGAGCTAAACTGTAACACTCAGTGATCCCTGACATGACACAACAAGCTCAAGGACCGGTGTTCTGTGTATCTGTGTCGGCACTTCAAAACACGTGTACATGTGCTTTGAACAAAAACAGTCAGCCAACCGGAAGAGGACAACTCACCTCCCTGTGCAGACCCAGAGGGAGCAAGCCACAAGCCACCCCAGCCTCACTGACGCCATGCTCCTTTATGTTTTTGCTGGCAGAACATGAGTAAGAGTTGACAGTGGCCACACTTGTTTAAAGAGTAGAAGTCATGTGACAAGCTGGAGGATTGTCGATTGGAGGGGGGAATGCCATCGAGGCTCAAAGGGGATCACGGCCTTCTAATCCAGCAACACTAGTTGACACTACCTATGTAATAAAGCACACAGGACCCATTCGACTCAGACAGGGAAACTTCAACAGCGGTTTAATATTCAAATGAAAATGTCAAGAGGGTTCAACCAAAGGCCATTAGTGCTGAGCTAAAGATATAAATTCAGATCATCCACTTAACAGAACCTTAAAAACTCCAGCACCAGTGTTGGGTATATTTTACAAGCCAACTGTTGGTTTTATAGTGGAGACATATTAGCTGTTACATAACAAGAGGACCTCAGTGTCCAGCAGCAGCACAGTAAACCAGATTAAAAGGCTGGCCAAGAACAATAAGCCTCCACCCAATTACACCTGTCCTGGCTGGGCTACCTGCACGTAAGCCCCCTATGGAGCACCATAATTCAAGGGCAAATACTCACAGGCCTTCACTACATACTTCCACTGGATATGTGAGTACAATGTCGCAGCATATAGCATGAATATGCAAAGGTTACATAGCCAAGCATTGTCCAGGAGTAAGACAGGGATGTGAGAAATGGACATCAGCAGCTGCAGTCGCCGTTATGCCTTTGTCTGCTCTCTACACTGAAGGCATGTGGCTGCAGGGCAAAGAGTAAGAACTCATGCAACCATAATCCACTTGTTGGCTATGAACGGGATGTGGCACATTAACAGCTGCTCTGATGGCAGTTTTTACATTACACACATTATTTAGACGAATTTGTCCGACAAGTATCTGCCGAGAATGTCAAAGAGTTCATACTGAAGAAAGATGGAGATGGTGAGAACATTTCAAATTCTATCACAATTGCTGTCGTAGTGTCCGGACACATTTACAGCAACATACATATGAGAAGTAATAAAGAGTAGCACGCTATTATAAACATAAAGCGGTAAGATTAAAGGTTGTTGTGGTTTCATTCATGCGTAATTCGTGCGTAAATTGCGCGTAAAACATGTTTTTCCACCAGTAAACATTAAACAGCCAAATCTTCGTTGCCTTTAGATCAATTTTGACAATATTACCTAAAACATTTTACACAAAGGCTCACAGAGTAACTGAACACCACAACTTCCACAGCACGAACTTCAGAACAAACACCAACAAGATGAGAGACCGTAATAAGGTGATAAAATATTCAGAAGTTGGCTCCAGGCTACATTTTCAAACGGTAAACTCACTATTAGAGACAATGAACGCAGAATAAAGTCACATGTGTACTTACATGCAGTGCGCGGCCGTGTGAAGTGGGCCTGAGTGGTGCCGCTGCCCTTCCTCAGACCGGCGGTCCCTCCCCACTGGCCCTTCACTACACGGACTGTCGCTCCAAATGTAGTCACACTCGCAGCTGTGGAGCGCTCTCCGTATTAAGGGGGGTGATTATAAATAGATGGACGGACCGTGGGACGCCCCTTCCACTGTCCGGGAGGCAGCCGAGACACGCTGCTGTCGTCGAGCTGCTGTGGAGTCTACAGGTGAACGAGAGCTGCACTTCAGCTCAGGTGTGGGTTGGTAATTTGATTTATTGCGGATTTATTTTTTTACTAAAATACATCATCATCCAAAACCTAAAGCTATCTATATATGTCTTTATATGTAATATGTCAAAATCTAGTTTGAAGACTTTATACTATGTTGCTCTCATGGCTCTAAGTCCTAAAACAGTTTAATTAAATGACCACAAAGTAACTGACCCATAGAAAACCTCTGTGGACATTTATTGTTCCAGCACTGGATACACTGGTTGGTTTCTGGGTCTCTGTTAACACAATATAATGAAGCTGCTGTGTATGTGTGTGTGTGTATGTAGTGCACTCACTAGTGCACGCAGTTGTTCTGTCTGTAAAGGATTAATTAACAACTTTCAATGGAAAATGGAAAAACAAACTTACTTTAAAAAGAAATGGTTGAACTTCTTGTCTTCTGTCTCCTGCTTCAACATTTCTAAATCTCATGTACTTCTATTACTTTACATATTTCACATTATTATATTTTAAAACACAAACACACATTATTCACAGCCAGATACTGATAGAGATGAGTGGAATTTGTGTTAACTGACTGTATATTTACCCTGCTGTGTTGTTATATTTACTGTTTTGGGGGTCCAGACCACTATGCTGTTTCAGCACTGCCCCCTGCTGTTCAGACTGTGCAGTTGCAATGGATCAGATCTGTGTTTGATGGTCTTATGAGCATTTATTACATATCCTTGACATCAAACTCTAATTTATTCGACTAGTTCGGCATTTTGCCTAACTTGTTCACTAGTGAGGCTCAAAATATCGACTAGTTAACTAGTTAAAGCCTCTATTTGTCTAACTAGTGAGGCTATAAAACTTACTTACTTACTTACTTACTAGTTGATTAGTGAGGTCTAAAAATCCACTAGTTAACAAGTTAAAGCTTTTCCCAACCGTACTATTTAACCAGTGAGGCATTCAATATTTTACTAGTTAATTAGTGAGGTCAATAATATGGACTAGTTAACTAGTGAAGGCCATCATTGTTACTAGTTAACTAGTTCAACTGTTATATGCCAGTTAACTAGTGGATTTTTAGACTTCATTAGTTATCTAATACAGCTTTTGAACCTTACTAGTTAACTAGTTGAAGCCTCTTTTTTCACCTTACTTGTTGACTAGTTAGGCTATGAATCAACTAGTTAAAGCTTTTCCTAACATAAAACTTTTTTGCAACTTAAATGGCGCAAAAAAAAGATAACTAGGGTTTTTTTTATACCTCATTAGTTTACTAGTAAAGCTTTTGAGCCTCACTAGTTAACTAGTAAGGTGAAAAGAGGCTTTAACTAGTTAACTGTTGGATATTTTGAGCATTAACTAGCTCAACAAAATGCCGAACTAGTGGAAGAATACAGCGTCTGATACCAAGGATACGTAATAAAAGCTGAGAGCTTGCTGTGCTGTTTATCTATTCACACATTACAGCAGATGTTTGTGTTCAAACTATCAGCCAACAGATCTTCATCTTCCTGAGTGAATCATTAATGTTATCGACGGTGTTGCATTCAAATGCAGAGACGGGTTTGAGAGAGTTATTTATAGAAATGCTTCTTGAATGAACAGTGTAACTGGTGTAGATCTGTCAATACAAACATAAATACAGGTGTAATCCGCTTCCAGTGATTACACCATAAATATCTTCACAAAATAATAAAAAATAAGGGACTTCATTTCCTCCGATGTATGCAAGTCTAGAACAGAAAAAGCTTCGGTGAAACAACATAAACCAACTCATCAACTTAAAGGTGCTCATAATAGTGTTGTCAGTAGTTTACAGCAAAACAGAATTAATATTTTTAAGAGTAACGCTCAACAACAACAAAGAAGTACTACATCTTAGTGTACTATCAAATCAAAGAACAACATACTTCTACTCTGTTCACGTGAAGGCGGGCCGAATTTATAAATCAATACAACAAAGTAAATAAAACTGTTCCTTCAAACATGTCTCATGTTTTGGATTCTGATCAACATACACGTTACTGTTAAGCATTTTGTGCCATCGGAGCCATGTTCTACAAGGAAGAAACGTGTAAAGCTGTTCCCTCAAACCTGACCACAGTTTCTCATGATGCGGGTGTGTGCGATGGACTTTATGGCACAAGAGTAGTTAGCAGAGCTGACAGTAGGGCAGGGTAGGAAGTGGAAGGAGCTGAAGTCTCTCTTCTTCCACTCGGCATTCGACTGAAATCCTCAGTGCTTCATGAAGAAAGGATGAGCCAGGGCTTTGGCGGCTGAGATGCGACTGCTCGCTCTGAATGCCAAGCATTGCTGCAGGTAAAGAGACAGTCTCAGTGCTGCTCATATCATCCTTATTGTTGTATTTGAATAAACATTCAATCATTTAGCTTCATTCGATCGGCAGCCCAAAACACTTTTTCATATTTGATTGTGAAATAAAAAAGCTGTTGGATGAATTGATATTAAATTCAATTTCATACAGTTTAATGCTGTTTAATAATGACCAACAACATTCCCATGAGCCTCAGCTGTCTTTTTGTTTTTAATCCTAATTAGCAACTGTTAGCGTACTAACAGACTAAACTAATGCTTTCTGGTGCGTTTCGACAGACAGCACAACATGTTGCCCACTCCTCATTAGCATAAAGTAGAGGTCTAGGCTACTTTCCGCAAATCAACTTTTAAACTAACAGATTTAGCAACATAATAGCTAATTACTTAACTACACTTACTTAAAATGTTTTCAGAAACACATTTCTGTTTACTATTTACGTAACATAAGAAAAAGTTTCCAAATGAGCCGCCATGTTGGTCCAATTTAAAATCCCGGAGCAGAAATTGTTTGTCCAATCAGGCGCTACACTCAGGAAGTGTTTGCGTGGTTATAGGACAGCGTAGTCTTGAGTTGGTTAAGCATCCACTGCTCAAACATCAGCACGTTAGCATACTGATGCTAGCATTTAGCATTATACATTCAGGTCACAGAGGTAGCAATTCGTTTCTCTGAAAGATAATTAACCAGCGATGTCTGAAAAACCCAGAAGGTCGTTTAAAAACCCTTACTGCTGTTCTGAATCCTCCTCAAAGACTCTTCAAACCATCTGGATGAAAAACGCTCTGTCTGGATGGAAACGACCTCCTGGGTTTTTCAGACATTGCCAGTTAATTATCTTTTAGAGAAGTTGTTCTCAAACTTTTGCAAAAAGCATGCCCATATTCAGAGGTACAATACAGCACTGCGCCATCGGTGTCTAATTTATACAACAACCTTGTGACTGTGAAAGCACAATGCCTTCGGAGGGTTGCAGCTCATTCTCAGAGGGTTACCTCTGAGACTGTGCATGAGAGGCACAAACTGTGGCTACACTGAGCCGCTAGCGTCATTAGTTATCTGACTAAAGAAATCACTGATCAGTCAGATTCATCCATTAAACTACTAATCCTACCATCTTCTACTCTGAAGTTTTAGTCTATGTCGTCCGTATCTCAATGGTCAAATGTATTTGTTTAAAACTTTCAGCCTCTCTGTGAGTGTATAACTGCAGGAGTGAAATAGATAAATTCTTTATAGATAGACTGAAACACAGATCTGCTCACAGACAGGAGGTCGGTCTCGTCCGGGCCCAGGTTGTGCAGCAGTTTGGTGCAGGAGCCTTTCGGGCCCCAGGTGACTGAGTAGGAGATCGGACTGTCTTTGGGCCAGTCCTCCTCGCTGGGCAAACCAATCACCCTGACGAAGAAAGCAAAGAGCAGCAGCAACAGGCTGCTAATAACCTCCACGTCTGACAATTTTAAAGTAAGACTGTAAAGTAAGGTTTATTTATTGATCTAGATTAATCATTAAACCATATTTGATTATAACAACAGGGTGTTGTTGAGCAACCTCTGAATTCAGCAAGACAAAGAACTTAAAAGGGTAATTTGAGGCAAACATGCAGATCGCCATAAAGTCAATCTGTGGAGTAAAGCACGCAGGTCTCTATGGGCAGAGGAGATTTATTCAGTTTTTGAGGAGGTGGATATGTTGTTTATCTACAGGGATCATTTATGTTGTAACATTAACGCTATTCAAAATAGGCTCTTACTGAAATTTGAAGAGAAATGGTTTGTTACAGCCAAAGTTAAGGACAAATATTTATTTCAAACTGAATTTTGGCCCTGAATTATATGTTACATCTAGTTTATCTATAGCTTAAAGATCTTTGGTTGCACAGTTGAGGGCTGGTATTCTTCCTCTGGTCACTGAGGTTGGTTGATTCAAAAAATATTCTAGAGGAAAACGGATTGTGCAAGCTCCTTGTTCCTTAAAATCACACAACAAAACCCTGAAGTATTCTGGCGTACTGATGAAAAACAATTGGAACGGCTTTTTTATTTTGATGTATTTAAGTTCTTTGTCTCAAAGGCCTGGAAAAGACTGCAAGATAGATTGTTTAATTCGAATTAAATGTGACTCTTTAGTAATATATTAATAAGCCTGGAGATTAGATTGAAGTCTGAACGATCGATTGATGATTCTCTCTCTATGTATGTGTACAAATTATTCTTTCTTTGATGTTTGACAAGGTTTACGCGGTGTTGTGAGAGAAAGAAGAAGTACTCACTCAAAGATTTTTTGCAGCTGCTGAACCTCTGTGTATCCCTGAAAGAGCGGTCTGTGGGAGAGCAAATGTCACACTGCAACTTTATCTCTGTTTTGACAACTGCAGAGTGTTTACACTCTCTCTCATATCTCCTCCAGCCAGACACAGACTCAGCTCTCCTCACCTCAAGAGGAAGAGCTCGGCGAAGATGCAGCCGGCGCTCCACATGTCCACCGAGGACATGTAAACAGAGTTCAGCAGCACCTCGGGAGCTCTGTACCACAGCGTAACCACCTGAACACAGAGAGAAAATACAAAGACACACAGCCGGGAGGGGGGGTTGGGAGAAAGAACAAAAGAACATTTATCACCTCAGGCCCGAGAGCGGACCGACTCTGCTACAGTGCATATAAGAAAAACAGACTCCAGAGTGTCTTAGAAGAGACTTCTTTCAGTAACAATTAACAGTTTTTACTCTTTTCTGTACTCATCTGCTAACGAGCTACACCAGGCGGAAGGTGTTCACTTACACCTGGAGTGAGGGCGATGTTGAAGGTGTAGATGCGTGCCAGTCCGAAGTCTGCGATCTTGACTTCTCCGCGGCTGCTGACCAGGACGTTTTCAGGTTTCAGGTCACGGTGCAGCACCATGTTTGTGTGCAGGAAGTCCAGCCCTCGCAGCAGCTGCTGCATCAAATCCTGCACACACGTAAATAAAGCAGCGCGACAGCACTTACTATTCTGTCTCCTTGAAAGTGCTACAGTGCTTTCCTTTGGCAGAATTTGTTGTAGGACACTGCTGATGTGTGCTCATGGCTCCCAAAATGCATTGCTTGAAATGTGCAGCACTCTGGTTTCCTCTGTCATTAATGCTGCTATTATACTGTATACTGTTCTGTTATTATTATTTCTACTTCTCTAATATCTTGTTTTACAACTTGAGCAACTGTAACACAACCAGTTTCCACTCTGGGATTAATAAAGTATTTCTGATTCTGATTCAAGCCTGTGAGTAAATGTACTCAGTTACATTCCACCACTGGTTCAAAAGCAACACAATGCTGGTAAAACTGGAAAATTCAGCTTCACAAGTTAATAAGGAACACCTGAACACACCACTAGCTGTAGTCCCCTGAGGTAATGGCTGTGAACTTACAGTTATATAATGATTTTTGCAGACATTGGACACAACTTCATCCCTATATCGACACACTGTGGAGCAGTGAATGAGTAGAATCTGAGATTACAAGATGAGAGTTAGTGATTTGTACGGTCTATATCAGAGTGTGTTGGGAGCGTGTCAAGGTGTCCACCTGCCTCAAATGCTACCAAAGGGGAGAAGACTCACATTAAATATACTTAAATACACGTAGTTCACACCTTAATGCTGTCACGGCTCAGTCCAGAAGCGGGGACCTTGGACAGGTAGGTGGACAGGTCCTGGTCAATGTATTCCAGCACCAGAGTGAGGTCCAGGCTCCGGCCCACTGGTACAGCAGACGCATCCAACAGCCTGGACATTAAAGTCATGATGAGATTATAAAACACACACACACACACACAAACAAGGGAATATGGACAGCTCTGTGTTCACAGAAATAGAGAAGTCCAAAAATAATAGCCCCCTGGGGGGGACACCAACCCACCAATCCCCCTCCCACACTGTAAAGTGGTGGAAAGCAACTGCTGCACTTGAGAACGATTCTGAAGGTACTTTTTACTTGAATATTTTAATATTATTCTACTCTACTACATCGTAGAGGGAATTATTGTCCTTTTTACCGCACTATTATATATAAATATACATATATAGATAGATAGTTACTGCTCACTTAATAAAAACTGCATATAAAATGAGTATAAAAGCAAATAAAATGCTGCTTACATGGTAAAATATATTATTATTTATTCATTTTATTGTGGATTAAAGGTCCAGTATGTCACATTAAAGAGGATCTATTGGCAGAAATGTAATATAATATTTATAGGCATGTTTTCATTAGTAAATAATTACCTGAATATAGGATTTTGTAACCTTAGAATGAGGTTTTATATCTACAGACATATATCTACTTTCCATGAACCGCCATGTTTCTACAGTAGCCCAGAACGGACAAAGCAAAAAACTGTAAAAAGGGCCTTTTGTGGCCACCGTAGTTTCTCCTACACACCAATTCCCAGGTCGTCAAATACAGACGCGAGCTGTGTTCAGTTAGTTACAAACTGTAACTTTACTGCTAGACGCCACTAAGGCCAACACACTGGTGCTTTAATCTGCTGATTATGTTCTCCACTGATCAATTGATTGATTGGTTTGTGAGAAAAGTCATCAGTCTGAAATTACGCTTTAACAATGCTTGTTTTATCCAACAAATGTTATATTATATTAATACTTTAAAAGATTAAAAGTATTAGACGGGAAGTTTGTGACGCTGGAACCATGAAAAAATGTATTATTAACTAAAGCTGTTGTGTTGTAGTGGAGTAAAAGTATTATATAAGTATAAATATTTCCCTCTGAACTGGACTATAAAGAATATAAATGGCCTGAAAAGAAAAGGCTTCAGATTTGTACTAAAGTACTTGAGTAAATGTAAACGTACCACGACAGGGGAGTAACAGATTACATGTAATTGACAAAAAAAAGTATTGTAATCCATGACAGTTGCAGAAAAAAAAGTAATTAGATTACAGGATTATTTAGCAGGATTTTAAAGATACAGTGAGCAGAGGACACATTTTAGATGCTAAAATCTTTCCCATTTTCTTTTTAAAGGTCTACTTAAGGTCTTTAAGGACGGATGCTGAGGTAATCCAAAAGTAATGGAAGAGTAATCAAGTTACTTTAATATTGTGATTGCCATTTTCTTCAACTCATGTAAACTTACTTCACAATGTTGGGGTGGTTGAAGTACTTCATTTTACGCAGCAGCGCCACCTCGCGGATCATGAACGCAGGGATCCCGGTCTCCGACGTGTCTGCGCGGACGTTGAATTTCTTCACCGCCAGGAGGCGCTGTTTGCCCCCCGCCTCTCTGGCTTTATACACCTTACCGTAGGAGCCTTCCCCGACCTCTGCCAGCAGCTCGTAGCACAGAGGCTTAGCGCAGACCTCCATGGCAGCCAAATGAATCCGGGATGAATAAAAACCTGAACCTTGCAGGAGAATTAAACGCATGTGCCAGAAACGGTTAAATAAGTTATTTTCCACCAGCTTTCATCCCTCAGTTTAAGTCAGACAGTAAGCTAGCTACCAGACAATTTGAGTAAACTAATTATTGCAGGTTAAATTTAGCATTAACAGGTGTTTATCAGCTGTAATAACATCGTTTAACAGCGATTAAGTTGGATTTGTGCTCGGTTTGTACTTTACCTCAGACTGCCGAGCGCACTGTGGCCTCCATGCAGCCGCCTGCAGCAAATGGTCGTTGCAATATATCTGCAGCCTGCAGAAAATTATTGCTCAATCACACCCCCTTTTATTCGCCAACTAATCAGAAAGCTCATTTTTACATGCTGCGTTCAGGTGCAAGGCAATGCACCGAGTTCAGCGACTACAAACAACAAAAGCAAACAAATAAACACAAAAGTTTGAGGAAAGAAGGTTGTTTCCTGATATTTAACATTATAGTAAAATAATACAGTTGAGTTTTATAAATAATGAGGCTGAAAAAAGTCTGTGTAGAGTTAAACAAAGTGAATCTGTTTGATAATATTTAGATAGGATGCTGTGGGAATTAACAATATTTTATTTATTCCTCATTTCGTCAACAGGCTTGAGGCCTGGAGAGTAAAAGGTAACTGTAATCCATTACAGTAAGAGAAAAAAC